AATTCGCTGGAAACAAGCTGCCAGATGAAATCCAGTACATCTTACTGGTATGAATGCAAAGTAAACAGTCTTTGGCTCCTAATAATTACACAGACTGAGACTCATGTCATTCAATGCCACTTACAACTCAATTCCAGAGTCATATTAAGGAGAAATTTCTCTCTAAGACCACTGCTTCTTCAAAATACTGATCATGTCACACAGGCTGTGAACTTCAGACATTATATGGCAACACCTATGATTTTATGCACCAAGCAGAGGAGAGCACTGAACCAGGCCCCTCCTTTGGAAGGACACTGGTCTGAACTTGCCTAGAGCAGGACTCTGACCATGGTTTTACTATCGCTGCAGCAGCCTGAATCCACAGTCACTCTGATGTGGTGGTGGCTGCTGTCTCACCTGAGCTAGATGAGCCTCCAGCCTCAAAGGGACACGTGAAAACCAACAACTTGCTCTCTGGTGACTTCACAGTTTCTTTTTTTGCCCTTTCAAGCCTTCCTGCTCCTAGTCACAAGCCCTATCTGAAGATATACCCAATGCCCCTGGAGACTGCCCCAGCTCTCCCTTTGGAAATGCCCCTCAAATCAGCTCTTCCCCACCCCGAAAATCCCCTCTGTGCTGGAGGAATCTCCCAGCCAGCACATCTTCACAGCTCCTCCTGGCCACTTTGCAATGAACACCCAGCGTCTGTCATGTTCATCAGGAGCCATCGGTGAAGAAAAGGTGGCAGTGCAGTTTCTATTCTGCACAGTGACACCCCGTTTAACACCCCTACAGCCTTGAGACAGAGGGCAGGGACCCTGCTGTGACACATCCAGGCCTGTTGCTCCCACTAAACCTCTGCTGCCTCCCAGCCACACATTTGCTTTGGGCTTCAGTTTAGGCTTGATTTCAGCACATCCAACAGCAACGTTAGCACAGCATTTACAGGGCTTCCTTTCCCCACTTGTGTTGAACAGTTCAAGCATTGTTATCTTATTTTTTTGTTAGAGTGTTTGCCTTGGTAATGCTGAACAAACCTGAAGCTTCCACTACCGCAAACACAAAAATTGACTCTGTTTATAGAAGAAATAAAGAACTAACACATGTTGAGGGTCTCTCTCCATTTACAGAAAACAGGCAACATGACAGCACAGCTTCTCTGACCGGTGAAAGTTTAAAAATCAAAAGAAGTGGCAGAAAACACGCAATTACATCCCCCTGAAGAAAACGAGTGCTGTACTCAAGATTGGCAAACTTCATCTTCCGCAAACCATTAATTAGCAAAAGATTCATCAGCACTAAAGACCTGTGCTCAGTGCCAACCTGCTCACACTGAAGCTGGACCTTGCTCTCTCCTTTGGAACGCTCCTGATCTTTGGACTTGGTAACTGAAAGCTGCTGTTTCTGGCACTGATTCGCGTGCGTGTGTGCGTGTTAAGGAACCACTGCAACTGGAGCTGCCTCCTCGCGAGCCAGTTACGCATATAAAGCTGAGTTAAAAGGAGGTGTCTCTCTTGCCATCCAGCCCTTATAAGAAGTAGATCACCAGAAGACTACTTACACTTTCAAAGTACTGCATTCCCCCTGTTTGACAGATTACACTTTAAGATGTTACATAAAAGCAAAAATAGTCACAAGTATTTTGGATCACCTGTCTAGTGTTAGCGCTGCCAGAGATGAACTGTGCCAGGAGTGCTTTACATCAGCGTGAAAAAAGTCAAGAGTTCCCGAAAAAAAAAAAAAATGTTTTCCCTATGAAATATTTATTGAAAAAACAAAAGCAGCTGGCGTAAATGATGGCAAAACCCTTCAAACTAGGTATTGCATAAAATCTGCTGTACTTCGTGGAGACTAAAACAGAAATAATTTTAGAATATGAAATTTGAGGTTTCCCTCACTATTAGGACATTCTCTCAAACTCCTTGATGCCTCTCAAGCAGACAACTCAAGCACCTGGAGTACTTATGTTATTATTTCCACCAAAACACTGCAAAGCTCATTATTTCATCTTTCCCACTAAAATAAAAGCAGGTGTACAAAGGCATACAATGACAACTCTTAATAAATCAGCACCTACAGATGTATTTAATGCTCTTTAAGATTGCTTCCTCTGCAGACAAAACCTGGAGGACCTATGGCTATCAAGTTTCTTTTTGTTTGCTTTCAATCAGCTTCAGAGGAAAAGAAATCAGCTTGACACAAAAATCAAAGTGGTGTTTTAATATGCACAAAGTCTAGCTCCATTCGTTAGCAGTCCAATCCAGTTCCTGCAGAAAAGGAGTGGGTGGTTTTTGCTACCAACTTAAATGGAAGCAGGATCAGTCAGGAAAGGAGGAATATCTCCAGTTGTTACGTTAGATGCTGCAACACTTACCTGGACAATGGAAGTATTTCCAAGGACACTCTCTCAGATACCTGTCTGGCAGCACAAACTGCTAACCCTCCTCCTATCTCTACCACCACCACTAGCTCATTATGTTAAATCAGATTCCAAAGATACCATCTCATTATGTAAAAATGTATGCATTTTAACTTCAACCAGAGAGGGCTACTTTCAACTTACCCTGCTAAATCAACTGGCTAATGTCTACGTCAAGAGAAGTACAAGCAGCAACAACTTTTAAGAAAACACAACTCATTTCTATGGCTTGTTTCACCACGTGAAAGCTTCCTGTGCATTTAAGATCCAAACTGAGGTGCCCCTGTCAATTTTGAACCCTGTGAGAAGTCCGTAAGACACAGGCACCTTCATTTGTGCAGATGAACCCCTAAAATTATCAGAATAAAAAGGCAGAAAGTCTCGCTCCAACTCACACACATAGGCAGATGTTTACTCATCTGAGAGACACAAGCATAGAACTGGTGTTTGGGGTAACCAAGCCCCCTCCCACCGTTGTTTGAGCAATAGTACATTCTACGGTGGCCAAATCTAGCACCCACTGACGGCAGCGAGAGTCACCCCGATGACTGCACCAGGCACGAGATGAAAAAGCCTGGACTTTCCTGCTCCCGAGAGCTTTGGATCTGCCTGAGCACACGCCGCCACACGCAACAGCTCTGGCGCGCTGCACTGAAGTTCGGGTAAAGAAGCTGACAGCCCCCACCCCCGGATGGAGATAAAATGGGCAGATTTGCTTTATTTTACACCGGCAGCTGACCCACGGCCGTAAATCAGCCACCAAAGGGCCCACTGGACAGCACACACTCCCTCTCCTAGATTTTTAACAAAAGTGGCCCTGGGTTTTCCAGCTGTGCTTCACAAAATGCAAGAAATGACAGCAGGTAACTGTACTCCTATTTTCATGCTTAAGGAGAACTACTCTTTCCACATCGCGACACGAGCGAAGCAACAAACGCTCTAAATCAAAGCGGCATCGCAAAAGGACTTTTTTTCCAAGCGCTCACCAACCCTGAAAAAAATCCCAATAAAGGTATTTTTCGCCACCGCTTCCAAAAGATGAACCACCCTACCCACAAAAGCACCCGCCCCCACCCCCGGTCGCCTGTTTCTCGTGCTGGCGGTGCTCCCAAGGAAGACCCATGAGCGCTATCGCTCAGGGAAAAGACAGGCTAATCCCCTGCCCTACCACCAACCCCTGAGAGGGCCAGGCAGCGGGGCCAGCCGGGTCCTGCCCAGCCATATGTCAGCTTTGCCACAGCGCAGTGAAAGTCTCCCCCAGGTCCTTTTTAGCCCTGCCGGCACCACGGCACACACTCCTCGGGGTTCCCTGAAGCCCCCGCTCCTGCCGGGAGAGCGGGGCGAGGCTGCAGCCCCCCGGCTCCAGGGGCTCCCCGGCGCACAGGGGAACTTACCGCGGTGGCGCCGCTCGCCCGGCGTCGGATGGAGCCCGGCTGCTCCGGAGAGCACACCCGGCCGCGCTGTCGCGGCCGGCACGGCCACCTCGATTAAAAAAGTGTATTCCAGCTCCCCGCACCTGCTTCGGCCCGGGATCCCCGCGCATCGGCGGGGAAGGGGGTGTATTTTAAGGGCAACTCCGCCGCTCTCCCCTCCTCTGTTCATCTCAGCACGATTCCCCCACACACACACCCTCCCCCGCGGAGGAGAGGGGGAGGATCCCCGCCCCGAGCTCCTCTGCCCGGGCACCAATTTAAAGGTAGCGATAAAACAAGCCCCGATGACTCGCAAAGCCAGAGGGGGGTGCGTGGGGGTGTCGCCGGCTCCTGCCCCCCCCGCATCCCCCCAGCCCCACTCACCACATGCAGCTCCACCTGAGAACTAAAGCATGGAGAGGGGGAGGTCGGAAACTCTCGCCCTAGAGCAGCTCCATATGTCGCTCCTCGCCGCGCCGCTCCGGGGAGGGGCCGGGTGGGATGCGGAGGAGGAGGAGGAGGAAGAGGAGGAGGAGAAGGCAGGAGCAGGCGGCGTGAGGATTTAAGCCTCCGCTCTGCCCCGGCGGCTGCGATCACGCAGCATTATACAATGGAGGAGGAGGAGAAGAAGGAGGGGAAGGAGGAGGAGGAGGAGGCACCAGCCCCGGCACCCAGCACTTGCCGCCAGCACTGACGACAGGGGCGGCTCCAGCGAGCTCCTCACCCTCCGGACCGCGTCAAAGCTCCGCCTCGGCCCCGGCCTTCCTCCCCCGCCCCTACTCCCCCCTCCCGTTCCTCCTCCTTCTCCTCCTCCTCCTCCTCCTCCCCGCTCCCTCTCCCGCGGCTCCCCGCGCTGCCCACGCGTGCCCCGGCCCCGGGCGGGCGGCGCGGCCCCCGCAGCCGCGGGGGCTTCCCCGAGGAGCGCTGGGCCGGCACAAAGGATGGTGCCAGCACGCCCCGACCGCAAATATGACAAGTATCCCCGCTATCCGGTGGCGGGGACACAGCCAGGGAACGGGGCTCGGCCAGCGGGGCTGGCCCCCAGGTCACCCAGTACCCCCCCAAAATTACCACCACCATGACCACCTCCGGTCAGCCCCCGTCCGGGCCAAGCAGAGCTGGGGGCTTTGGGGGAGTGGGGATAAAACCCGGAGCGCTGGCGGCCGCCCCCCGCCCCGGGAGCTCACCTGGGAGCCGAGGGAGGCAGCGGCCCCCGTCCGTGGAATCCTCGCTGCTAATTTGGGCTGTGCAGATACCACCGAAGCACAGAAATGAGGCCAAACGGAGATGTTCGAGCGCGCGAAGACTTGGGGGCAGGGGGGGAGCGCTCGGCACCAGGCGCTATCTGGAAAGAAGACGATTATTTTAAGTCACCTCAATGATTGTGTTTGGAAAGGGGCTGTAATCCCAGCCGGCTCTGTTAAAGGCGATTCAAACACCTTACAGTTTTGGCTGCAGCCCCAGCGGCATCTCTGATCGTTCCGGCCTTTCATGTTCCACTAAACCGGTTGTACTTCGGGACAATAAAGCTTTAAGACCTAATATAAAGGCGATTATTAGTCATTAATATCACGACTCGTTTAGGTATTACGCTCAAAATGATCTGTAATGATTTGTGATCAATCAAGATGATGGTCTTGTTAGAAATTAAGTTCAGTTTTCAGTTAGAAAACCAAAAAGGAAAAGGATAGTTTTAGAAGGAAGGCTTCCTTAACTTGAAAATTGTATCTGACAAAAATCCACAAAGGAAAAATAACTCCAAACAATTCAAACAGTGAATCTGCCAAAAGAAAATGAGATTAAATGATGGTTTTATGGATTCTTAAAATTGTAATTCGAAAGATCCCCATCTAACTGATGTTTAACACCAGGCACTCCAGATAATACTCTGCTGAAGTGACTAAAATGGGAGGAAAGGGCATCAGACCTAAAACCTGACATTTTACTCTCCCAGTTCAGAGGCCTCAGCACACCTTTCCCCTTCCACTGGTGCTATCAGCCATTCCTTTGAGGAGATCCAGGCTCTCTCATCCGGTGTCTGCAGCACAGAGGCAGCCCTGAACCAATCTGCAAAGCCATTCAGGAACCCTTTACTAAATTTTGACAAGTGATTTGCGAATCGCCCAGGAGCCGGCAAACATTAAAACCAGAATTCCCTCCTGGCTGGATATTTTCCAGCAGTAAGGCACTGAAATTTGGTCCTTCTGCTCGGGGGAAACAAGTCTCTTCCTGAAATCGCAACGAGTCATAATAAAAATCACTAAATAAAAGGAGAAGGTTCATTTTCTTCAGGGGGGCCTGAGTGGTATCTGTTCAGCGGGGCCTCTTGCCTACTCAAAAGCCACCCGGAATATTTGCAAAACTCGCAAGTCAGATTCACTGTATTTCAGAGCCACGCTCTGCCCTCCTTTACACTGGATTTGTAACACAGCAGGATCTGGCCTTGCGTAACCGCGCTGTGGATGCGCCCAGCCGAGCAGTGCCTGCCTTCTGGAGCTCAAAGTCCGCAGCAGGTTTACAGTCCCCGTGCCTGGGTGTGTGCGCGCTATCACCGGCACCAGAGGCAGGACCACAAACATTTGCTAAATAAGCAGCTGGGCTCCAGCCCCGATGTGCACAGCCCTGATTTCGCCGTGTTCTACTCGGCAGTAAAGAGCCTCAGCCTGTGCCATCCGAGTTTTAAACACTCTGGCTTTGCTAGGTTGCTCCAATTTTACACCAGCACAAGACCAATCTCACCGCCCCTTCTGTTTCCTACTGTAACTCTCCCAGGCCTTTCTTGGCAGGAGTTTACAGTCACGCTGTAACTCAGATTGTTCCTCTGGACACGACTAGTGCAACCTGCATCCACACTCAGCTGCACTCTCAGCTGAGCACAGGTCACGATACGGGTCGATAGGAATAGAGCTCCTTCCTACGCTCCGCACACAGCACAGGCTCCATCCTGGCGGGACGAGGGCTGGGCTATGCAAGGTGAATATTCCTCCTGCCGACTGCTGCTCACATGGCCTCGCAGCTGATCTAACGAGACCTTTCTGGCCAAGAAACTCCACTCTGCAGCTTTGGAGCAACCTGGCCAGGAGGTGCCTGCAAGACCCAAACGCAGTTTGTCTGAACGTGTTTCAGTAAGCACAGAGAAACAGCTTGCAAGTGAGCTACAGAGCACTGTGCTAGGAATTGTGGAGAGGTTTCCAGAGCCTGCAGGAGTGTGGGGGGGGAAAGTCTGCATGTCTGCAAGGAGGAGCCACCCAAAACACATCCCGTTTCTGAAGGATGCACACAAGGCCTTCCTGGGGAGAAGCAGCACAGATGTAATTGTGCAGTCGTAGCCTTGACACAGGCCCTGCTCACACGTGAAGGCTGGATCAAGGGTTGGACTTGATGATCTTGGAGGTGTCTTCCAACCCAGTTAATTCTGTGATTCTATGAAGACAACATGCTAAAAGAGAAGGAACCAAGCTGTGTTCTTCTGCAGCGGTACTGACCTGATGTGGACTACAGGCACAGTCTTAAGTGCAGCCTTGTCTTTGAGCAAGGATGGTCAAAGCCTGTCTGACTGAAGAGGTAAGGTCTCATGAAGATCACTCAAAACCCCTCCTTGCCTTGAAGATAAATAAATAAATGAACAGAAATCAAAGACTGGAAAGATTGGGAGGGGGGAACAGACATGAGCTTCATAGGCAATTCATTAGAAATACTACAGACTGCCAGGTAATCTCTGCCCATCAACACGCGTGCTAATTAGGAAAGAGCAGCAAAGTTTGGTGTGCTGGAATGTTGGCATCCCTCACATTTAGGAAAAAAAAAAAGAAAAAAAGGGAGTGAACTGCATCCTATGTTTCTAATTTCATCCTTGGCCTTTTTCTTTCTAATTGCAGCACACACAAGTACTATGAGATTTCATCAGGTAATTGTACGACAGGACTTTGTTTTCTCCCTGGATGTTTTTGCCTTAGTGCACTCAGGAGCTTGCAGGTAAATACCTAATGCTGACACCAGAGCAGGCAACTTTTTTGCAAATAAAGACCCCCTCAGCACTGGTAACTTGGGGAAAGCTAAACAAAGGGCCTGCCTACAGCCAAAGCTGCTTGTTCGCAGCGCTTCAGCAGTGCTCTCCCCACCAAGCAATGCGGGTCTCCTGCGTAAGAAGGAATCACACTGTGTGATTAAACACCACTAGGACCTCGTGCCACCTCCGTTCAGGCCAGCTCAGGGATCAGTACTGACCTTTCCAGAGCAGGGCCCTTCTCATGCAAGGCCCAGCCACAAATATAAACAAGCTCCTCAGTTAAAAAAAAGAACGGGGTGCAGCATTAACTGTGGTCTGCACCTGTATACGAGCAGGGAGGGACCTGCACCTGTGAGCTGGGCTGCTTTCCTTGGGATTTCAATGGCTTTTTTTTCCTCCTTTTGCTGGTGCAACTCTTCCACTGTAACAAGGTTGCCCCACACAGTCCCAAGGCACGAAGGAGTTGGTTAAAACAGAAGGAAGGAATGCTCCACCCCTTCTCACTCCAATTTTAGCTCTCTTTCTCCCCCCCTTCATTTTCTGCTTTAGTTCATGTTTTTCTCCTTTAATGTTTTTGTGGCAGTAGGAGAAACACCGTTCCCTAGAATGCATAATATGCTTAATTATCATTCTCTGTTAGTTCTCTAGGAAAAAAAAACCCTACAGGAGAAATCAGTTTAATTAATGAGTATGACCAAATGCAGCCTTAGTTCTAATGCAGTATCATATATTATATGTCCAGTTGGGCAGTTGATCTTCTTTGGGTAAAATGAACAGAGATGCAAAAAAACAGGGAGCTCATTAATCAATATTCTGAGTGAAACTACCCCCTTTTTTTATAGTTATTCTAAGCTTCCTACAGATTTCAGTGACAGTGTCCAGTTCCCAAATACTGCTTTTGGCTTTGGTAACACAGGATTGGGCCTGTACAGTCTACTAATAGAAAGCTATTGCTTGGCAGTACCAAGGGTTGTGCCACATGGTAAATTCATTAAGTAATTAAGAAAAAAACCAAACAACCCTGAACTCCAAGACAGCTCTCAAACAGCCATACCCAATAAAAATCCCCAGTGCCTGTGAAGGACAAGGTTAGTAAGGTTTCTTCTGAAAGTAAGATTTGGTGATTTAGATGCTTTTCAAAAGGGCTACTCTTCACATACTAAATTATTAAGGAAATATTATGGAACAGGATTATCAGGAAAGAAAAAAAAATGCAGTGTGCATTAGCTGGCTTAGTCAGAGGAGGTTTTGCTGCATTCCTCATGCACGGAGATGACTCCCTCCCTCTGTAATTCCCTGTGCACTCCCAGTCCTCCAGAGACTGTTGGTGTGCATCATCCTTGCTCCAGCTGAAAGACTGTCCTCTGACAGGAGTTTGGGCTCCCTACCATTGCTGCATGCCTCCTCACATCTTTTTACCTTTTTATAAAAATCCATGTTCTTTCCCAAATCCCATTCAGGCTGCATCACTTGCAAGATGTGCTTCATTTCTGGCCCAGGCCAGACTGTTCACACTGGTGCTGTTTGTACGGCACACAGGCTCCTAAAACAGTCTACCCTTTCCATTCTTGCTTCTTGTGACACAGTGAATTGTACTCTGCACTGAGACATGTTTTAAACAATTTTAGGCTGCTTTTCTTTCCCTTTCAGTGCTCACTCTGCAGTCTCTATCAAAAGCACAAGTCATTCTTTTCTGGAACACTTGGTTACTTTTTTGGAGAGAGGCTACGCTGATGTCCTGATATTCATCTCATACTGGGGCCAGTGGATTAAGAGGGGGGAAAAAAATCTGCAGATAAAACCTGTTTTACAGCTGAGGAGCGAATATTTCTAATCAAGAAAAAACACAGCAACGGTGAGGAAAAATACAGAGATGGCCAGTCTTCAGCCTAATTAACCACCGGTGTAAACAGATGTTTACACCTGCAATCAAGCCAGAAGACTTCGGGCCACCCACCAGTCTTGAGCACAAACCCAACGTGAGCCTGAAAATCTTGACAACATGGGGCTGTCAAACATGCAAGCCACACATGCTTCAATACAGAGGTCGCCACCCTGCCCCTTGTGCTGACGGACCACCTGCTCCTTGGTCACCAGGGAGAGCAGCTCTACTGGTCTGGATTACCGTGTGCGCTGCACGTGCCGCAACCCTTCTCCAAAGCAAAGCTCTATTACGTGGAGACATAAATTTCTGGAGCACACATATCCCCCCTGCACTCTTCTTAAGCACTCTTGAACCATGAAAAGAGGCCTTGGTTGCATGGGCAAGTTGGAATACGTTTAGCACTGCTCAACCCTGCTGGAGACGCCAAAGGCTTGACAGACCAAATGGGGCC